GCAAAGGGTTTTGCAGGTAGGAGATAATCCATAACTTCCTACTAGGTTGAATTATCCTATTTTGAAACTGTACTTGAAAGCTGCCTGAGAGCCAAAGGAAGAGAAGCTTAAAGATGAAACAAATAAATGGCAGAGTTATCTTGCCCCATAAGTCCATAATGATATTTCTCATGGGAGAAGAATCTACTGAAAGTATATCTGTGCTTGAAAAACACAGAATGAATTTTTTACAGTTTTAAGGACTCCGTATTAACATCAATTGTTTTCCAAGAAAAGTGGATGATTTTTAAAACTCCTTCACTTTCCTGAGACTGGGGCAAGTTAATGTGAGCCAAACATCTGAGATAGGGAAGCGAGTTGTCCTGTTCCCCATCTCAACACCAACATGAGTGAAAAGCACTGACCATGTAGAGGACATTAGGAAGATTCCTGAGGAAAAAGGAGTGGGTGATATAAATAAAGAATCAGAAAAGGGTGTGCCGAGGGTCCCCAAGATAACCCTCAGGTTCAATGATTTGTTGGAGGACTCACAGGACTCAGCCTATAGACATACTCACAGCTATGGTTTATTACAGCGAAAGGATACAATGCAAAACCAGCAAAGGGAAAAGGGCATGGGCAGAAGGCCAGGGGAATCCAGGCACAAGCTTCCAAGAGAGCTCTCCCCTTGGAGTCACACAGGACATTCTTAATTCCTCCAGCATTAAATTGTGACACCAAAAACCAAACTCACTGCCTCAAGTTGATTCTGACGCATAGCGACCCTATAGGACAGACTAGAACTACCCCACAGGGTTTCCAAGGCTGTAAATCTTTACAAAAGCAGATCGCCACATTTTTCTCCCACGGAGCAAGCTGGTGGGTTCAAACCACTGACGTTTTGGTTAACAGCCAAGCACTTTAACCACTGAGCCACCAGGGCCCACTAAACTGTGACAACACATATGAAGTATTATCTATTAGGGAAGCTCCATAGACACTCGGTGCTCAGGGTTTTTACTGGGGACTGGTCATATAGGTACCCTCAGCTTAGCAGGTACCAAAATTCCAAACTCCCAGAAGGAAAGCAGATGTTTAGCATAAACCACATTGTTTGCACAGTTTAGGCAAAGTGAGCCATCTTTATCAGTTAGGGAACGGTAGGAACACACCCAAAATCCAGGTCCCCAAATGCCAGCTAGCAAAGGGCCAACCTTGAAAGCAGGCTTTTCTTAGGATAACAATCCCAGGCCTGCTATGCTAATTCTTTTTGGCACAGCGATATATTGAAAATATTCTTCTTTTTTGATTAAAAAAAAAAAAATCTCACTTTCAGAATTTTTTTTAGCAAATAGCAAAAAACAGCACAGTTATATGCACCAAGATGTTCATCACAATATTGTTTAAATTAGTGACAAATTGCAAACAAGCTAAATGTCCAAAAATAGTGGAATGGTTCAGTAAATGATAGCACAGTAGTGTGAAGAAATATAAAATAGCTTTTAAAGTTATATTTTTTAAGATTTTTAATGACAAAAATGATCATGCTGGGAAGAAAATCAGGACACAAAATTATATATACAGTAGTAAGTCAAATGTGGGAGAAATACAGAATAAAATCTAGAAGGAAATTTACTAAAATGTAACCCAGATTCATTTCTGGGGGATAGTTATGTAAAAATAATTTTTATTTTCCTCTTGACTTTAGTGTTTTCAATTTTTATTTAATGAACATGTACTTACTTTTCTAATCAGAAAACAAGTGATAATAAAAAAGATAATTATGTAAAAAGGCTTTAGATATAAAGGACTGTGGATTAAAAGCAAATTTTATTAAAATGTAAAATATTTATTGAGTATAGTGAATAATATGAGTACAATGTATAAGGCAGAGCTTGACTGGGGAACTCTGAAAATGGCAAACAATTTAAAAATATAGTTTTTCTATTTAATATGCTTCTTTTTTCAATGAGCTAATATAAAAAAACATGTAGAGGAAGGGGAGATATTTTGTTATAAACACTAAAGGAAGCACAATGGCTAATTTTTATTGCCACTGCTAATTCTGAATAGTTCACAAACGAGCAAATGCAAAAATAAAAATTATATTTTTAAATGGATAGAATAAAGGATGAATTTCCTAAATTACTTTGTGTGTACATGATCATAATTTACTACACTATAAGTATTACTAACATAAATCATATACAAGTTTACAGTTGCTTCATAAGGAGAACAAGGTAGCTACTAGGTAGTTGGAGAAGGTGATTTCTGATGTTTCTAGTGCCAATTCCCCTCCATCTATTTTAATGCACCTACCCTAGGTCACACAGATACTCCTCTATGGAAAACTATTTTGTACTGCCTACATTCTCCATCACTGTATTAAGCTGTCATATAGAAAACAGAAGGCTATTGCATCCTTTTATCCCTAGAGACGGAATGGTTTGCAGCTTCTTTTAAATCACAAAGCAATTCTTTTGTGTATAGAACTGCCCACGGCAATGGACGCTGTGCAACAGAGATCCATGGAGTCGCCTCACAGACCACATGACCCCCACTTGTAGCTGCTTCTCAATAGTGCCAGAACATGAAAATCTTGACAGCACTAGTGATTCCTGGGCCAAGTTAGAAAAACCAAATTCTAAAAAACCATTGTGATGGCAAGCACACACAGGAAAAAAATCCAGAATTTTTCTGGTTAGGAAGGGAAATGTGGTTAACCTAAATTGGACCTGGGGTGCAAAGAGGTATCAAAAGCCCTTCTACTGCTGCAATTCAACTATGCATTTTTGTTTCCATTAAAAAAAGTAAAAAAAATGTAAAAAGACCCTTTAAAAGGTTTGGCCATATTTAGAAATTTAACTGCTTAAAGAGAGACTCAAGTTCTTAAAAAGATTGTGTTTGGGGAGGAGGTGGGGAAGGAGAGTAGAAGAACAAAGTATTGCTACAGATTCTTTTGAGTAAAATTTAAAGCTAATGAAAGGCAGCAATCGGTGCTTGCTAAGCGGTGGTTCATTTATGATCAGTAGGCTTCAAAGACTTTGTTGCTTCCTCTTTTCTCTTTCCCAGGAAGAAGCAGAGTACATTAAAAAACAATGGGACTTGTAGTCAAAACACTAGGGTTCAAACTATTACACTGTTAAACATGCATTAACAAACAATTTTCAGGCACTATGATTTTCAGCCATCTGTCATTGCCAAATTTCAGGCTTTTACTCTATAAAATGGAATAACGAATAAATGTCACCCTTTTCATAGGTTATTGTGTACAAAGAAAGTACAAGCAAACTGTAAAGTGCTATCTACGCATTTTATTATTGTTGTTGCTATTAGGTCTGCCTGACATACAGAAAGTACTTAACAAATGTTCAAAAAATTTTTAATGAACTGGGCTAATTAGAGTGGGCAAGTGGTAAGAGTAGGTAAATCAAGAACTCTAACAATAATAATACGTTCATTTAAAAATTAATGGCTATTAGACGATAAAAGTTTAATATCTTATATGGAACTAAGTTGAACACCTTATATATCCCAGGTGAAAACAATGCCTTAATTGCCAGATGAGGTCATTATAATCACTCCTTATTGGTGGAGATCTCAAGTATGGCAAACAGATACTAGCACATCAGGTTTCATTAAGATAAAGAGGCAGCAGACTGAGAAGGTTAAGAGCTTGAGTTCAGATTCCAGCTAACAGGTTGTGTGACCTTGAGCAAATCATTTAATTTTGTCTAAGTCTCAGTTTTCACATCTATAAAATGGAGATAGCAGTAGTACCTACATCTCAGGGTTTCTGTGAAGATTAAATGAAGAAATACAGGCAAATCACTTATCACAGTGCTATTTGCTTTGCTATCATCATCATCATCACCATACTAAATACAAGGTGACTTTCTGTGAATGAAACTAGACCAGAAGTCATGCATTTCACAATCTGATATTATCCCTCAGCTGTAGTAGTGAACCATGGCATGCCTTTAAAAACCTGGCAAAGGGGGTCCATTAAGGTCATATATCCTGCCAGGTCCCCACATACCATGATGCTGTTGGGGGAGATTAGATGTGCGTACTGGGAACTGTGGTTCCCTAAACCAATGCTAGCAGATGTCCAAGGTATAATTCCTCAAATTTTACTAACCACTCTCTCAACCATTCAGAGTCCCAGGATTATACTTTCAAAATTTAAATTTCTGATCAAATTTTCTCATGCTCTATGTTTCACTTCCAGTAAAATTTCTCTTTATTTTTTCAAATGGAAATGTGAGAAGCTTGAGATGTACATACAGGCATACTTTTTTTTTCTAATTTTCAGTGGATGAATTCTTGCTAATAGAGAAGCTACAGAAGTTAGAATAATGAGATACTAAGATAAGCATCCCTTATAATAGTATATACCATGTTAAATGACAGTGGTAGTCAATGAAGCAATCGCTTCACATCCAATATCCTACTGAAATGAAATAACTGTTTTAAGGAAATAAAACCTAACCTTTCTTGAGATGTCCTGCTAAATGAGTCAAAAAAACCGTTAATTCTAGACCTATAAAATTAATCAAAATAATTCAACTGTGCAACCATCCTATTTCTTATCATACAGAATTTAATAATACAGTAAATTCTGGATCTTGGATATACAAAACACTTCCCCACCAAACAGTTATCTTATTGGGATCATGGCCTCTTATTCTGGGACATGAAAGGTCCTTTCCTCTGAGGAAAAGCTGGTCCTCCAGCCTGCCTGCCTTGTGATGGTGCCAGCCAGAAGGGTCCTGGTGTCCACTGTGCTGTTGCAGATTGAACAGTCTGTGAATCCATGCAGGGGATAAGAGGTTGTTTTAACTGGCTAAATCTGCTAGTACTAAGCATATGGCCATGAATTTGTAGCCAAAACACTAATCTTAAAAAAATGCCACGTACAATTTAAACACAAAACAAGAATGACATTTTCATTTGTCAATTCTAGCTTTGCCACAAGGGTTTTTAAGCCTACTACTTTACAATGACTCTGAAATCCTTACCTTTGCAGAAATAGAATTTTCATGATATACTCCTTGTACCAAGTCCATAAGAGCACTTGCTAAAAGTTCCACAACCTAAAAAACAAGAAAAAAAAAATTCAAAAAAACAAATTTTTAAAATTCATCCCCATTTTTGCCCCAGACGGTTCAGTAGCAAAAGCAGGATTTGTGCTTGATAGAAAAAATGAGGTTATGGGCAAAGATCCTGGCAAATGGCATTGCACACCTGGATATTAAAGCTGTGATCCAATTTTTTTCAGTCATAATTCAAGCAAAAAAAAAAAAATCTTGTAAATGTAGCATTTGACTAATACACATGAAAATCCTCTAACAGCCATTTTGAACATAAGCTTAAATTTCAGATAACTAATGAAATCTTAACTCAATTTATATTCTGCATGTTATTTCTGTCAGGTGGATACTTTTTCAATATCCCATTCTGGGAGTCATTACAATGCTAATTTTTATATTTAATATAGAAAGAGAAGCAAAATCAAAAGAACAGTTAACCTTTAAAACGTGTTCATTCCGTTGTGCTTAAAATGCACTGTGGATATATTTGGTGCAGAGCCTTTGTGTCAAACATACCAGAAACATTGAAAATTTTTACAAAGCCACAATACTGAAATGGTATTAATCAAATCTGTATTACCTTCAACACTCAGGCTACTTTAAAAAAAAAAAAAAAATCAAGCAAAATCCAAAGCTTTGAACTTGTTCCAGAATGTAAAATAAACAGAAAAACAGTAAATGGTCTCTTTGGAACTACTGTACAATTTAGAACTGTTTTCATAAACCATCTTAGTTCAAGAGGATAAAATAGTGGCATTTATTATAATGTTCAATACAGTCATTTCAAACAAGAATTCCTTAAGGCACCCCATCCGCTGCTTACCAAGTCTTAATATCTTGTCTATTTAACTTCCTATATTATGCAGTTCTATATCTGATTCCCACTCTTGGCTTCTTAAAATTTAGCTTAGTTCTGATTGAATTAAAGGATTTTGTTTCAGCTTTTGTCATTCTTGTAATTAAAGACATTATTAAGCCAAAGGATACAGACCTAAACAAGAAAACTTCAATCTCTTGTACCCTGGATTTAATAAACATTTTCTTAGAGGCAAATTAATTTGTAGAAAGACTTGCTTTAAAATTTTAACACAAGAGCATTTATCTCCAAATTTATATTTACATTCATACTGCACAACACATACAGGGCTGCTAATATGGAAATTTTGCTGATTAAAGACATATTTTTTCTAGCTCCACAGATGGGCCAGTTTGTAGGACCTAGACAATGTTTTTTTTTTTTTTAAATCACATTGCCCTTTAGGTAACAAAATACTTAAGAAATATTGTAGCAATAGGAGCTGCAGAGGAACTGGAAGGACAATGATCCTACAGTGTTACCAGGTGTGCTGAGTATTTAAGTGGGGGAGAGAGAAAAATGAATGGATTTTTTTCCCCCTGAAGGTATCAGATAAACCCTATTCCCAAATCCAGGAGGATCAAATATCGCCAATAGGTCTATGAAAGACTGTAACTAAACACACAGCATCAGATTGGGTTCCAGTTTATACAAGCAACATCCCAAGATCCCCCTGATGACTGGACACATAATACAGATCAATCGCTCACTTAGAAATGTCATGGTTTTGAAATAGTTTCAGCTCTGAGACCAGCACTGATGATGTAAAGAGGGATTTACAAACAGAAAGTCCAACTCTAAATGTCAAAATGATGGCATGAACCTTTAACAATGGATCTGGCTGTGATAACCAGAGAGTTCCCTTACTTTCCTGACACTCCAGACTAGGCAGAAGCAACAACATTATTTTGTTCTCCAATTCTTGTTCTCTTAATTCAGTTAAGAGAGGCAGACCTGTACTTACAAATTCATAATTCATATATGACCTGTACTTAAAAATGGCCATACTTGCTTGAGCTGAAATTACCTCATGGCCAATGACAACCATCAAGGACAAAGCTTAGGACTTCCTTAGGCTAACACGTAGATAAATGAAAGAGATAATGAAAAGCTGGAATAGCGTAGGGGAGTTGAATGTGTCCCAGGCAAGGGTGACTTGCCCAGTACACATAGAAATCTTTTTCTATTGCCTGAAATGTTTACTTTACTTTTAAAATCATACCAACTAGAGATATGTTTTAGTATTATCTTCCTTTAAAATCACAAACATTTCCAGAAAGACCACAGGGCTACCAGTCACTCACACTTTAGTAAGAGTTCTTTAGAGAAATCATATAATGATTTTATTGTCTTTCATTACTTAGCTTATTACACAGACATTCACCTGTTTAGATATATGTTGTACTTAAAGATAAGAAATCACTTGCTTAATGACATTTGCCCCTCTCAGATTCTTAAGGAAAAATTTGTTCAACCAACCCAAAATGCTAGCAAGGACAGTGGTAAGCAGAGGAGAATGCAGAGGCCTAAATGCCAGGCTTCCTGAGACTAAGAACCAAAGCCCCAGACTCCTTGCAATTCTAGACAAGAGCAACAATGAAACAGATTCAAAGACTCAGTTCTTCAGGCCCAGGGAAGCAATCACTTTCCATCAGAAAAATAAACAAGCTAAAAGAGCCTCAATGTTAGACACCCTTGGAAGCCCAACAGATTAGAGAACTATAATTGAACACAGCAGATCACAAGGAGCCAAAGTATCTAGATTCTACTTCAAGACCTACCACAAATTTTGCTATGAGATTATTATGCAAATAAATTAATTTCTCTGAGCTTTGGTTCTCCTCAACTGTAAAATGAGGGCAGCCGCAAAAGGTGATTCCTTAAGGTTACTCTCAGCTCTAAAATTCTGAGCTTTACTATAAATGAATCTTAGTAGTATTTGGCTTAAAATGAAGCATGTGAACTTGCAAACTGCTTTTCATAACTTTGATGGGAAATCTTCACTCACTTCTATCTGTTCTCTTGACGTGGATCTTTTCCTCTGCTTGAACTCTACAGATGACTTTCTCTGTGAAACTTTTTCTACCTAATCCCCTTGGTTCCAACACCTAGAATTACAATAAAACAACTTCCTTTTTTTTTTTTTAAGTATCACAACTGATAACCTACCCCACCAGGGGGCAAAGAAGTCCTAGTTGGGTCACTTAAAGGCCACGTTGCTGAGCTCTGGGTCTTGAAGCTCTCTACTGCTTGGAAATAATTCACATATAATGGGATTCAAATGGCATCAGGCTTAACTGCAAAGTTCCGTCAAACAAATAATGAGACTAGTTGGCCATATCACTTCCTTCTCTAATAAGTAAATATGTAGAACACTTAGAAGAGAACCTGGAAGAGTTAACTTATTATTCTTAATACTTCTATATTATTAATCTACTTTCAGTACAAGTCTTAGGTATAAGTCCTAGGCATAATGTGGGAACCAAGATTACAGAGTTTCCAAAATTGTGTGTGCCCAAATATTTTGGAAGAAAGTGGGCTTTAGTTCAACAACAGAACACATGCAAAAACTATTCTAACCAAAATCAGAGATCTTTGTAACTTTGATTTATTAAATCCTGAAACATTGTTTCAGATTATATGACTGTCCCCATCAACGTTATAAAGTTTACTTTAGCCATCTAAAAACTAAGCAGGAGATACGTCTCTTAATTTCTGCATTTCTAAAAGTTGTGAGAATAACGTTACTTGCCTATATATGCAAAAGTAAAAATGTGCGTCTCTTCAGTTTTTGTCGTATGTTTAAATCTGACTCTACAGCAAGGTCCAATCTTCTGAGCAATGCCTTAGATTCCAGTGAACCAGAAGTGGCATCCATTTACAATGCGACTATGACAAGCTGATTTTTCCCGCCACTTCCCTTTTTTCCCTACTAGGAAGAAAGCCCTAGCAGAAAAAAGTAAGTGGACAGTGCACGTCTAGTTGCTATTCTCAAACAGTCCATCTCTTCCGCTACCTTAATCACCACCTCCTCACCAAAGATACTCATTGCCACTGAGTCAATTCCAACTCATAGCGATCCTATATAAGGAAGGGTTAGTATCAGATATATGAACTTTAATACCAATTACAGTATTACATAACTGACTTTGGAATTAATTTATTAAACAGTTAATTTACAGGACAAATTTCAGCAATCCGGAGAATATGTAATTGTTTCATTTTTTATCTTTTGGCAAGGGTAACTACAATTCCCTTTCTTTTGCAGATTTTTTAAACTGCAAAAGAAAGATGATGCATATACTCTCACAAAAGGTGTTATGATAACTATGGCCCTGGGTGATAATAAATTGATCATAAAAAATAGAAATTGAGAGAAATAGCGGGTGATAAGGAACAACAACAATAAAAAATATCCTCACTTACAGTGCTATACAAAGCACTGTGGCATACTCTTTTTTTTTTTTTTTTTTTTTGTAACATAGTCTTAAGAAAAAGAAGGCTGGTTATAAAACAGAATAGTATGAACGGTGTTTTGAAAACAAAAATGAGCCCAGTCTATCTGTTTGTATATACAGAGGAAAAAATGTTTAACAGGATAGACAAAATATTAATAATAATGATAATGTGTAAGTGGTAAGATTCCAGATGATTTTTAGTTTTTGAAATTTTCTTCTTTAACCTGTCTGAATTGCTTAAATTCACAATATATTACATTTTCTTCCCTCTTTTATTGTATCGGAGCCCTGGTGGCATAATGGTTAAGAGCTCAGCTGCTAACCAAAAGGCTGGCAGTTCAAATCCACCAGCTGATCCTTGCAAACCCTATGAGACACTTCTACTCTGTCCTATAGGGTTGCTATGAGTCAGAATTGACTTGATGGCAATGAGTTTTGGTGTTTTTTTTTTTATTGTATTGATTTTATAATTAGGTAAAACAATAACCTATGCGGGGAGGCATACCCTGTTTTTAGTCTCAGAGAGGTATCAAGCTAAACTATGTTCACAGATTGATTTATGGAATATAACAGACAACATCCCTGGATTAGCAACAATACGATCAGTAACTGGTGGTAAGCATTCTGTGTAGACAAGTTGTGCCTTTCTCAATAAATGTGATTCAGGAGTACTGTCAGTTAGCATCTCA